TTTTTTGTTCCGCGGGGCGGGAAAATTGTTTATAGCGTTCACCTTTTCCGGGTCTGGGACGGTACCGGAAGAGGACACAATCCACCCCAGGAATTTTATATTGTCTTTTGCAAAGTAGCATTTCCCTGGGTGGAGTTTGAGGTTTCCACGCTCGATGGCACTGAACACTAAATCAAGGCGTTCCATGTGCTGGTCAAAGTCTTTCGCGTACACTATGATGTCGTCGAGGTACGCGGCACATATGTTGTACTTGAGACCGGCCAACAGGGTGTCGATCATGCGCTGGTATGTCTCGCACGCGGTGGCCAATCCAAACGGCATCGTCTCGTACTGGTGTAGACCAAATGGTGTTACGAATGCGGTCTTCTCTTTGTCACTGTCGGCCATTTTGATCTGGTGGTAACCGGCTTTCATGTCAAGTGTAGAGAAGAGATGTGATCCGCCGAATGCACTCAACAAATCGTCAACACGGGGGAGAGGATACGAGTCTTTCTTGGTCACCGCGTTGAGCTTGCGGTAGTCCACGCACATCCGGTACGAACCATCGGACTTCTTCACCATCACGACGGGTGATGAATACGGACTGGACGACTCTTTGATTATCCCTGCGTTGAGCATCTCATTGATTTGTTTGTAGATTTCGGCTCTCTCCATGGGAGAAGTACGGTACGGTGAGCTGTGCACAGGTTTTGAGTCACCTGTGTTTATTTTATGTGTCACTAATTGTGTATGTGTTATAACCAAATTTAATGTTCGTTTACACACAAACACAACAAGATTTTTCAAATTGTTTACAGAAACAACACAAAGTAAGTTTAAATGTGGTTACAATATAAATTAACAAACCCATAAATTGTAATTAAACGTATTGTTTGTGTTGTTTTGTATTGTCTCCATGGGTAAGTGGAGACTTTCCATAGGGAAGTGGGGACTCTCCATGGTAAGTATGGGACTCTCCATGGAGACATGGGGACTCTCCATGGTAAGTGGGGAACTCTCCATGGAAGGTGGGGAACTCTCCATGGAAGGTGGGGAACTCTCCATGGAAGGTGGGGAACTCTCCATGGGATCGTACGGAAACTCCGTGGGGAAGTGTGTATTAAAACTATTGTACATTAATAAATTTGTCGTATTGTAATGGTTATCTATAAAACCTAGTGTCTGTTGTTTGCGTAGTACAATGTCCCAGGAATGTGTATTAATCACAAATATTTGCGCACAATCATTTACAGAATTATTAATTATTATACCGTTATTATAAGAGTCGTACTTCGGGAAAAATACAAATTCCTGTGGTAACTCAATATCGCAATTTATTTCAACCCATTTTGAGCTAAATTGCGGTATTTTTAGTGTGTGATTAACATATAATTTGTGTATACTTTTTTCGGGAAACATAAAATTAAATGGGAAAATATCGGAAATAATGGGGTCTGAAGTGATTATATCGAAATCAATTTTAAGTTTTGATAATTTACAAAAATCAAGTCCTACTAGGATTTCAAAAGGTAAGTTATGGTATACGGAGAATAATAAGTCATACGAAACATTTGAATACAGAATATTTAAAGATACATTTCCTATGGGAAATATGTGTGTACCGTTTGCTAAGCGTAAGATAGGTTCAGAGCACTTATTAATGCAGATATTGTTAAAAGATTTTAATACACTGTTATTAATTATGGAAATAGAAGAACCAGTATCAAGTAATAGAGAAAAAGGTATACCATTCACAGAAGCATTAATAGTCAAATAGTTAGAAAGTAGTTTAATAGAATAGCAATGTTCAATGGCGACGGTATCTATTGATTCCGCCGCCCTTACTGGTTTCCCTGGGGTTGTCCTTTGGCGGGCGCGGTACCATCACGTGGCGTGGCGTGCACTGCAGCAGAGGAGTTGATTTTCTTTGGGCACGAGCGGGAGATATGTCCTGGCGTGTGGCAATTGTAACAGATGGGACGGCCATCAACTGTTCGCTGTAGTGGCGGCCTATTCTGCGGGTACCGCGGGTTCTGCGGATTGCGCGCGTACTGCGGGTAACGTGTATCGCGTGGATTCCGTGGGGCCCATGAGTTCCGTGGAGCCCATGGCCCGCGGTTAGATGACTGTGTATAACCAGTATCTACCGGTGCCGTGAAAACTTTTTCCATAAGTGCGCACATCTTGTCCAGCTTCTCTTCAATTTTTGAGATAACGCCCGCGGGATCTGGTACTGGAGATTTAAGAGCATTTGTGTTATCAATTAATAGGTTGTTATACTGTGGGCGTTGATTGGCGAGATATGCGGCTTCTTCCATCGATCGCAGTTTGTCCAGAAGTTCGCGGCAGGTCTTTGGCTCAAACACTAAAACCTGTTCAATAACTCCTTTGCGTAGGCCTCTCATGATGTGGGTGAGTTTTTCCTGATCAGTCATTGCGCGGTTAACCCTATCGCAGAGTCTCAACATGTCGTAATAATAGGATACCGCGAGTTCTGCTAATCCTTGCACTCTAAAAATAAGTGCCGACTGATTCATTGAGCAGATGTTTTTTGGTCGGAAAGCGTCGCGCAGTCCATCAAATATGTGAGTCAATGTGTGTTCGCCATCCGCGCCGTCTGCGGTGCCGTCACTGTGTGACCGTATCGTGCGGTACCACAATTCTGCGGTGTCCTTGAGGTACACGGGAATACGGCGCAATTGTAACGATTCGTCCCAATTGTTACAATTTGACACATATTTAAAGTGGTCGATCCAGTCATCGACATCTGTTGTCCCGTCGTACGCACGCGGTTGTACGGACCCGATTGTGATCATCGATCTAACTGGACGAGAATCATTGTTTTTACCTTTAAGACTTGTACCTGTATTTTGCGGAGAATCCGCCGAGACTGCAGTAATAGAGGGCTCAGAGGGGATTGTGCGCTCCATGGGAGCCATGGGTTCTATGGGACCCGTGGGACTCGTGGGAGAATCTGCGTTCGCGGAGGGATTAATTGTCTCATTAATCTCCTCTTCCCTCTCTGAGTCACCAGAGTCTTCATGTGTTGACTCTACGGGTGGTGGTCGTACGGGCGCGGCGGTGGCTTTCCTACGTACCATGGCTTATGGGTTAACTTAATTTATTATGCAATTATAGATTACAGTACAAATAGTTGTGGGAAAGAATTTTAAATTTAAGCAATTAATTTTTTAAAAGTAGTCATTAAATTTGACAAGAAATGTCAATAAAAACAATTAGCGCAAAAATTATTATGCAAAAAGTGTAATTAAAATAACGATAAATGTCAAGAGCAGTACATTAATTTATATGGATTTTCACATCTGTTTGACGCTCGCCATTAATTTCATGTAACAAAAAGTCAATTGAGCCATAAGTGGGATTAACTTCAAGTTCGCGCGATCGCGTAATCTGTTTTAAATGCTTGCTTTTGCTCATAAAATTAATGGGACTGCAAATAGTGTCAATTATAGCATATGCTGTAGTCAACGCAATGCCCATTAACGGGGNTTGCTTTTGCTCATAAAATTAATGGGACTGCAAATAGTGTCAATTATAGCATATGCTGTAGTCAACGCAATGCCCATTAACGGGGATTATACAAGAATTTTAGCAATTAAAAAAGCAATAAAAGTGTTGTACGGCTGTTATACGGACAGTGACACTAAACACATGGCTTCGCACCACTTGTGCAACAGTGAAAGGAAGGCGCAAAGCAATAAATTTTAAAAAGTAAGCAAAGCATAGAAATAGTACTGAAAATTTTTGAAAGTTTTGACAAAAAATATAATTTTTTTTAAAGCGCAAAAAATACTAGAATTTTAGCAATTTTTAACCATTAAATAAACTACAAATACTATACCATAGAAAAAGAGAAATACTGTATCCATGGACATATGGATCCGTGGGTACGCGCGTGCAATATAAGCAAATAATCAATTATTACGCCGTACGAAGTACAAGGATCGTAAGTACAAAGCATGCGTTTATACTAACGCACTCTCCACCATATGCAATATTATCGTACGGTATGCGCGCATTTAATACAATAATGTCCCGGCACTCGGGTACTTACCATGGGTTGACCACCCGTATGGGACTTACCGTTTACCGTGGGGTTTGGCCCACTGATGCCGCTGCGCGCGCGGAGCGTTATAGTTGAATGAATGCACAATATTGCCGCAAAACTATTTATTAATGTTCACACAATACAATAAAATACAATAAAATAAAGAATAAAAAAGTTATATAATTGAGGGTTTATGCAGTAAAACAGTCCATAACTAAAAGGCTATACTAAATGAATGGGAAAAAGCTAACTAACACTCTGATCATCACTTGACCAGAGCTAAGGACAGACTGTGTACTGTTGTACACGAGTGTACAGCATATATACACTGTGTGTATGCATAATGTATGGTATGCAGGACTGGGCGGTGGTTATGCAACCACTGTAGGCCCAGTACCGCATGTCCTACAGAATGCCAGATGTGGTAATTTATGATGGTAGAGCAATGTATGGGATATATTATACTGTACGGGATGGTAGGGCTTGCATGGGGTGTACTGTACTGTACTGTACGGTAGTGTACGGGACGGATGGTATGCACTGTATATATTGCATACCATATGTAATGTATGGGCAGGATTAATGGTAATACTGCAATATTACACATAAAGTAATCATATAAATTGTTTTATAAAAGCATTGTGTTGCTAATGTATTATAATTATTTTATAATTAATTATAATAATTTTAATTAAATACAACGTTATAAATTTTCTATTTGAACGTCAAATTTTGTCATTTTTAAACATTTATAATTAGACTAATTTTCCTTAATAAATAGACCATGATTACAGTTACTAGGCATTGATTATAATGCATTCGTTTTAATGATTACCAATTATATTAAATTTAAATAATGTAATATTAACATAATAATAAAGAATATAATTAAATAGTGAAATAACGATCTTGGTGAATTTGATCATGACAAAACGTGAGAGGATGGTAAAAATTAGCCCCAAAACTCAATGAGGGCAATTTGTGGCATATCATGTATGGCACTCATGTCTTCCTCCCGGAGCTCAAAGTCAAACACATCTGAATTCTCGACAATACGCGAGAGTTTAGTACTTTTGGGCACAACAATGAGTCCCCTCTGGATCTGCCACCGGATCATCACTTGAGCCGAAGTCTTATTGTACTTCTGGCCGATGGCCACAAGTGTCGGATCGGTAATCAACGATCCGGTGCCCAACGGCGACCAACCGGCCACCGCTATGCCCTCCCTATGACACCACTCAATGGTCTCATCTTGATTTAGACCCGGATGAATGCGAATGTGATTAATCGCCGGCTTAACTGTGGCCATGGTCATCAACTCGGTGATCTCAGTTGGTTTAAAATTGCTCACACCTATCGATCGGGCCATACGCTGGTCGTACGCCCACTCGAGGGCCCGGTATATGTCGGTGTTGTTACGGAGCGGCCACTGAATGGACACAAAGTCCAAGTAAGTGGTGTTCAGCTCTTTCAGCGTCTGTTTGATCACATTTTGCGTACGTTTGAAGTTTGAGTTCTTCGGCCACACCTTATACACGATGAACAGGTCGTCTCGAGTGACCAGACCCTCGTCGTACGCCTCCCGCAGCGCCTGACCCACGTCTCGCTCGTTGTGAAAGAACCACGACGTGTCGATGTGGCGGAACCCCTGGCGTATGCCGTCCTTTATGGCCATGATCAGTTTTTGGCCCTCTGCCTGCCACGTGCCAAACCCAAGCACCGGGATCTCTATGCCGTTGTTTAGCTTGATTTTAGGTATGCTTTCTGTAATGCATTTGTTTCCATGGAAACAGTGGAGAGAGAAAGATTAAAAATTTAATTTATATTTAAAAATATGTTTTTATAAAGTATTTACGGATTTTTATATAATATAAGGTCATTATAAACAATAGACTTACGCTTTGTATCGGGTTTTATAATACAACTACTGTTGGGAATGACTGGTATATTGTGTTTGACGGATAATGTGTAGGTTTTTATGTAAAAAATGCATAAAAAATAAATATATTTAATTAAAATATTTTATAGTAATTTTAAAAAGTCATGGTATTAATGTTATAAAAAATAGGATTTAATTTAAGAAAATACAAAATTGAGTTAATATCAGAGAATTCAATAAATACCGTGTAATTCACAGAGAAAATAATCAATTTAATTGAGTACATACCTGAGCCATATGCAGCATAATTAAAAAATATATTAAATAATATAAATCTCAACATTATTTTACTGAATGTGCTTTACTTGTACAAAATATTTGTATAATGTTATATAATGTTGTATAACATTAAGACTGTTTTGCTATACAAACAGTATGTAAATAAAACCAATTTCTATCTGAAAAAGTATAGATGATTTTCATTACATCAAAAAACTTGTTTTATTGTTTGGTTTGAATCTTATATTTTAATTACATATGAATTCAAGCGTAAGGTTAATGTCAAGGTATTTACAAATTGGTTATATACTGTAAAATACCCACATCGGATATACAGATGATGTACTACATGTGGGTATTTACCAAATCGTGTATTAATTACCATGATAAACAGTTTATTTTCAAAAATCAATTTAACTAAATGAATTAGTTTTCATATTTTATAATCATATTCAATGCAATAATTAATTAGCATTTTATTATTAATCGTTAGCTATAGCCTATGTCTATAGTAAATGATGTAAGAAAATAAGTAAAAACAACATTTAAAATTTTAAAATTGTTTTCAAACACAAAAAACTATAAGTTTTGAATAAATTAAAAACAATTTCAAATTAATGTAATCCACGAGTATTTAAAGGTACGGACCTTTCACGACAAATACATATTTCTCGCAAAAAACAACAACAAATAATTAATAGAAAGTTTAAGTCACTCACGACTAATGTGTTGGACAGCTATATGTAACTTAACATGAATTAACACTTAACTTAACATAAACTTTTTTTTGACTTGACATACAATATTTACAACAATTTTTTCAACAACAAAAAAACACATAAATCAATAAACACATTAAAATCAACAAAAAAAACGCCAAAACTAAACAAACATTAAATTATAAATCAAGCTTTCATTTCAAAATACACTGAATCAGTGATCTCGAGATATTCCCGGCCCTGTTGTCGACCATCCGATACATACCTGACCTCTTCGTAGGCAATATCGTCGTCGGGATTCTCATACAAGTTCTTAACATTAGTTGTGTTGCCATCGATGGCGATATCATCGTAAACAGTGGTCTCTTCGGTCATGTCTTTTGACTTAATCTCTTCGTAAACACCGGACCCCTCGTTATTAACGCTACGGATATCGTCGTAATACTGGCCGTACATGTCGTACGGGTTGTCGTAAGGGTTTTCCGCCCTTTCCTTCGCCCGCCGGGCCTCTACTTCCCGGCGCTGTCGCCGACCGTTTACAGTAAAGCCCGTCAGACATAGGATTACGGCGACGGACAGCAAGAGTACGCCCGACAACACGGCTATGATATACTGGGGCACAGATAGTCGGTTCACTCCGGTGTTAATTATTTCCAATCGACAGTCGGGTTTGTTGTCGGCCACTGTCAGGTCCAACCACTGGCCATCCATGCACTCAACCCTATCGGGTCCGCGCAATACATAATGGGTTTCGTTGTTTTGTGTGCTATTTCTGATGGTATCGCATGTGAACCGGACAGACATACCGTTGGGTACATATGTGCGCCCCTCTCCGCCCTCGACCACCAACTCGTAGCTGATGTCCACCGACTCGCCCACCGTATCGTTAGACAGCATCGGACAGTAAGACCTGTCGACACAGCGGGGGAACCCTTGAGTCCATTTACCAAATTCATTGCAGCCAACTCTGGCCGAGCCGTCCAAAAAATACCGGTCCTCCCGCCGGCACCGATACTCATAACCTGTGGTGCCATTTGGCAGCGCATCCATCGTCACCGGTATGTCTGGTCGGCCGCACTCGCTGTCAAACCAATAGACCCGAAGGTCGCAGATATGAAATATAATAATCTGCGAGAAAGTCTCCTTAAATACGTTGACTTTCACTATAACTCTATCGTATTTATTGCCGATAAACGCCGGTTCGTCGCACCCAAACTCCAGTGTCAGGTAATTGTCATTTTGTTGGCCGCTATCGTCTCGATGGTGAGCGCCCGACAGTCGACAACTGTCCTCAAAATAGTCGTTGAAAGAGGCGGTGAATACGAGCTGTTGTTTGAGCCAAATATGTTTGATATTCATGGCGTATAACTTGATTCTCACGTAATGTATTTCAATGGCTTCGGACAAATCAAACGCAAACTCGTCGTCGCCTGAGTTGATCTTCACGAGACAACCCAACGGCGCCCTATGGGGTGGCGTATAGGCGCCCAACTCGTTGAACGGACGGCTGATGTTGGCTTTAGATGTGGGCAATACGGACGAGTCTGACCCGAACTCTACGTGTATTAGGTATGATTGGTTGCCGTAGTTTATTGCTAAATGATGTGAGTAAATTTACGTGACATTATTGCTAAAGTATATTATTATATACGGGGTTAGGTTAGTAAATACCACATCTGGGCACACTCCCTGTCCAGTACCCGGTATCGCATTCACGTTTAGAGTTTCCAACCAATATATCATGATTATTGACACATTTATAATGCACAATTGTATTATGTTTAAATGCTTGCTGATGGTTAATGTTGGTTACATGACCGTGGTTGTCTATGTAAGTGATGACAACGCCGGGTGGTTTAGCCAATTGGCCGCACATACAATGCCCGGCATTGATGTCATTATCACAAATGTTTAGCGCATTTATAAACTTAATTAAAAGTACGGCAATTGATATGATTTTGTAATGAAAACAAATCATAACTACAATTGTCTGTAATATTAAACTTACAATACATGACTT